GCGCGCCCAAAGTGTGCAGAAATTGGGCAACACAGTCTTTGGGGCAAGAACTGCTACTCATTTCGAAACGAGTGGCCGAAGTAGAATTGAGGGATGTAAGTCTCCCTTCATCACTGTCGGCTGAAGCATTTATTGACCTTAAAGAGACACCTCCTAGCATTAAAGTCGCCGGAATCCTACGTTCGGGTCTGAGAAAAGAGCTGAGTTTTTCTACATCAAAGAAAAAGATGAGATTATAATTGAGATCACGCATATGGGAAGGTACCGTTGATGCAAATCCCCACGATTCCTGTTATCATTAAAGAGCAGTATGACGATGTGGTAATAATAATTGGCCCATCCCGCATGTTTCCCCCGGATCAGGAGTAAATCAAAACCTGACTTGGATTCTGAAACCAATCCTACGTAAGACGTCGAAGACTTGTACTGGATGGACAGTGTAATGTCATAGCCGGTTTCTTTACTGCAAAGCAAGATGTGAGGTCGAAGTCACAGAGAGGTAGAGTTTCGATTTGGCACCATCTTATTGGATCTGAATGTGTGTCCGCAAATGGCGAGTTTGCACGCTTTAAGTAAGACGGATGCAGCTACGTTTCTGACATAAGCGCTAATTTTGAAAACAGGTGTGCTGATGACCTAAATTTGGCTATCATTAACCGCTTAAGAAAAATGGTAAGTTGCCCATGTCCGGAGTGATTACTTCGAGTTGAGGGGAAATATGTATGACTAACTTTGTCACCGGTAGTGTTTTATGCATCAAAGACGATGATTAGTATGGCAGCTCTTATAGTAGTTTGGACGGCATCGTGCTTACTCGCAAACCTATTCTTGACGGTATACTCGCCCATAGTCGTTCAAAACGCGAGAAAATGTATATGGGTACCCACAATCAACAACTACGAGCAGTGCTCGAGATATATGCGCACTAACTAGCAAAAAGAAGTGCCGCAAAGTTATCGTATAGGTTGTTTCGTTAGGAAGGATGCCGTGAAAACGGACACTTGAAAGATCAAGGCCATCGCGGATAAGTCCGTATCGTTGCTATTTTTTGACTCAAGAAAATGGCCTTAAATGGTCAGTTTTTTTGCACAAATAGAATGAAAATTATGTAGATATGGCACGGCCCCTTAGCAATCTCGGTAAGAAAGATGATAAGTGATGTTGTTTTGTGGCAGAAGCGGCTCTCCTTAAACCGTGAAAAAAGATTTACCCCTATTAGTGACCAAAGCGACCAGATCATGTCGATTGTGACGTTTTGCGTTGCAATAGGCTGTACATTTCTCCAATATATCCATTGGCCATAAACACGCCATTTCCTTTGAGCCTCGCCAGCTTAAAGCGGCAAACTTGTTTATGACAAAAATCACCTGTTTACAATATGCGCTTGATAAGTTCAGAATAAATCTAGATGATTATGTCCATTTGTGCTCTATAGAGATAATCCGTTATTGCGCACAGAAATATAGCTACCATAATTTTAATGGTGGCCATTTTCCATCGCCCAGTGCAGCTTCGACGTAAGGTTCAAGTAGGGCTGTCTTGATGTTGTGGCGAATGCGCTTCTGAATTAGCTCGTCCATGAGATACTATACGTCACGATAGTGACGACGTCTTGATTGGTGGAGCAATATGCACAGCGTATGGACACGACGCAACATGCGTAAAGGAGACGAACGATTCGGGTTTGAGGGGCTTGGGAGCTAATAAGCTGCTTTATCAAAAAATTGCGCTCGGGAGTACTGCATTTTGGATTTGGTGGACCAGCTGGGGCACTCGAATATCTCGTTATTGTCAGCGAAATGTGAGCAGTGAGAAGTTAATCAGGCTTCGCTTGGTGGTAGCTTCTTATTGCATAGAGACCCACGCCTGATAGCGAAGTTATGGTATACTTTGTACAATTTGCTAGACTTCAAATAAATAGCGTCAGTGGCTAATCAATATAGACGAGTAGCCAGAGGTAAGACGTGATAACCGCGTGATGTAGGGTAATCTTGAAATGCTCTAGTCGACACACGCAGTGTTTGCAGGCAAAAGCACTAAACTTTGACCACGCTTCATCGAGCCGTTCACAGTAAGTCAAACACAAAAGAAAATGAGAATATATCATGTGTTTTGTGTAAGGTTATCAAAATGTCGCTCTCACGAGCCTATTGGATGTCAAGCACTGGAGTGAAAGAAGCATATCTACCGCCTCTTATAGCCATGCTATTTTCTCTTTTAAAAGCGACAAAAGGCTTCCAAAATGCTGGTAGTACGTACTGTGATAGCGTAGCTTAGAGAGCGTGTTTCAACATTATTAATTGATCAAATCTTGAAGCTCTAGGAGGAATCGATGTATTGTCATGACTGGAAAGTAGCAAACACAATATGGCGCAAATATTACACTAAACCTCCAAGCGCAATAGGTGCTCACTGAGCATTTGCGTTGCGATTTTTTGCTAAGAACACAAAAAGTGTAGCTTAAATCTCGATTAGCCCCTTTGATAAATTCACTGATCCATTAATTGTATCGTACAATTATAGAAAATATATATTACATTTTAAGAAATTGTGACTATCCAGAGGCATCAAATTTGGCACGAAAAGTAAGCGATGAGGCCCCGCTACAGAATGAAGGGAGACTTACATCCCTCGAGACTACTTCGGCCATTCGTTTCGAAATGAGTAGCAGTTCTTGCCCCAAAGACTGTGTTGCCCCATTTCTGCACACTTTGGGCGCGTTGGACGATACTGTAGACTCCGTTGAAAGTTGCTATGTATTATCTTATTACACGGCTAT